CGTGAAATCTCGGGCGTCGGGCGCGTCCAACCGTGGTCCCCCGACCCTTGTGCCCCGCGTTTCGAAAAAAAGAACGAGGGCAGAAATGAAAATCGTGACACTCGTCGAGTTTGTTTCTCTTCGCGTCGCGGAAACTGTTCCGGTTTGCTTCCGGACACTGCTCGGCCACTGGTTAACGCTAGAACTGCTGGACAGGTAAATGACTTGTTCCTGATTTCTTGTTTCAACCCTTTGCACTCGAGAGACTCTCAGTGCACTTTCAGTTTTGATACAGCAAAACTATGAAGTTGAACATTTAGTATTTTAAATGAAACTTTGTATTGCTATGTGGAATATTTAAATAAAATAGCTTTGCTTCATACTGTGAATTATCGTTAAGTTAGTTTCAAACAATGTCGACTATATCTCGTCGGATATTGAATACTTCCAGTCAAAAACTTTCAAGTGCAAGGGATTAATTAAATGTTTACTTAATTGTTGAAAACCTTCAGCTGCTTTTCTGAGGAACTGTACACCCCTTGTCCTATATCTGATGTGATGGAAATTTTTTGAACTGCATTTGATAAATGTTGTTCGATTGTTTTGAATATAGATTAGATATTTTTCTGTCGTCAATCGTCAAACTTTAGAGTAATCGTGGACATATAAGTATCAACATTTGTTCTCTTTCTAATGAATGATTAACAATACAGCAGTTTTTCGAGCACAATGGCGAAAGAAAGCGTAGGACAAGGGGTTAAGCGAATTGATATAGTGACGAGATAAAATGCAAGTCAATCGAAATCTTGATAAATGTTCGTTCATGGTTTCCACGAAAAAATAGCAACTAATCGATTCGACTGTTCGGAAGTTCTAGCGTTGACGTGTTGCCGTACGAGCATTCCGTGCGACCGTCTCGGCGAGATTGACGCTCAAGCAGATGCCAGATCGCCGCAATGATAACGCTGTGAACTGAGCTTGAACGGTTTTATTAATTTCTAGCTGCGGGTTTCTTGGATGATGATTATTGAAATGAAGATTCTATGCGTTTGCAATATTCATGTATGCGCAATGTGATGTAACGAACTTCATTTGAATTCAGAATCATGTCTGTGCCATTTTTATCGAATTGTAATTGTTGCGAAACGATGATGTTTCCTTTGATGATACGAAACCGAGACTTTTTGTGATTTCGTAACGTTTCACCGCAGCTGATTTATACTTAATGAGAATCGTAATAATCATGAACGGGATAGTGCTTTAAATTAAGCATCAATGCATCATTCCTGTTGTTTTTGAGGACCTTTGATATGATATTCATATCCTGGACACATTTTATAGCTTGTTGCATTGTACACATCGTCTTCCATTAATACATTGCTAATCAATTTTACCGACACTGTTAAACTATTCACTATTGATGTACTGATAGAATCTTGATTACCTCGATCATCATGATTCTCAATATCAAGGCTTGCATTAGAAGAGCAATGTCACAATACATTCAATGCACTTGAGTTTCAATCTACCGACACGTTAATACACTTGATTATAACTTTCCAATTAAGTACACGTATCCACAATACAGAAAACTTTGTTCCATTTTGTAAGACTGACTACCAACGCCAGCGTCGCAGCCAACGTGTCAATAACTTTTCTAGATACGAACTCGCCGAACGATCAGATACACCGAGTTTACGAGATCCGTCATCTCGAAACTTTGCCTTATTCCCAAGTTGCAAACGAGGAAGAAAGATCCGCCGGCACAGGTATACAGCCTCGGCGGCGAAGGTATTCAAACAATCCAAACAAAGGTAGCGTAACGTTGCGAACTGTTTATCAGGACTGTCTCAAAGATCCTTAGAAACGCTGCGAGCGATTCATTGATACAAGCGTAGAATTCAAACTACACTTCGAAGTAGAACCTCAGAACAAATATAAAACAAGGAACACGAGCATTCGTGCGCCAACAACTTGACAATCGAAATTACATTTCTCATATCATTAAATCATCGCTTTCAATCTCCGAACTTCCCTCCGACAAGCTAACACCAAATTATCGTAACCGAATCCAGACTAGAATGCCCGCGTAAATACACGTTTGACTCCGGGATAGCTTATGGAACAATCTGTCAAAGCTTTCTACGCTCGTTCCGGCAGACCTGCGGGTCTCGATTTAAAACGACAACGATTACAAAGTAGTTACGAGTTCGCAGCGGACAGCAACGCGGAGTTCGCCGACAAGCTTCTGGCGAGTCGTTGTTCCGCTTAAAATTCCGATCGTTTTAAATCCCAGAAAGAGAGAGAGAGAGAGAGAGAGAAAGAGAAAGAGCAAGAGAAAGAGAGAGAGAGAGCGGTAGAGAGACAGAGGGAATCGATATCATCCCGCGAGCGGTTCCGCAAATCCGATTCGAATGAACGATAGAAACAAAGAGGGGACGATTGTGCCATTGTCTCTATTCACTCTTTCTCCCTGCCCCCGCCCCCGCGCGTTTGTGTAGTCGAAACCCCAGCGGTGGATAACGAGGGACAATGACACTTGTAACTCACCATGATGACCGTGCACGTGATGCGTGTCCGGCAGCGGCTTGCCCGACAGGTAGTCCTGCTTGCAGACGAACTTGTTGTCGTCCAGGACGTAGAGCTCCTCTCCGGTGCTCATCTGCTTCCGACACACCAGGCAGGTGAAGCAATTCAGGTGGAAAACCTTGTCCCTCGCCTTCCTCACGAGGTCCTGCGGGCTTATCCCTTGGAGGCAGCCGCCGCACTTCGTCCCGTATCGCCTGCAACAGGCCCGCGACAACAGACGACACCGTAAATAACCGAAAACAAGTCCCGGTGCTCGCGCATCGAACCGGCGCGGCGCGGCGGCGCTCGAATAACGAGACCTGTCCACCGGTCGGACGAGTTATGCGCCGGGTAACTGGATTTCACTGGGATTAACCGATTCGGAGGTGAATTTCGTGGGAAGGACGACATCGCCGATCGTACGAGAACATTGGAAATCTGGCTAGGAGTCGAGAGGATCCCAGGCAGTAAACAATGTCTTGAGGGCCGAGGAAACTTAGGGGCAGTCGATTTGCGTGAAGGACGAGACTGTGCAGACGCAGTGTCCTTCGTCAACGCTGTCGATGATCGTCGAGGGCCTGCAGATGTTGAAGTTGCAATCAGGGACGAGCGGATGAGGACAAGGACGCTTTTCCTGACAAGGGAAAGCTGGCGATCTTGCGAGGATGGGGATCGACACGGGATCTTCTGTGGAGGACTGGCGCGAGGATTCTTGTAATCGTACTCGTACGAAGCATCGCCTTGGTACGCGCGATACGCGATTTTGTGAAGATCGATGTAGAAATATACGTATTGCAAACACTATACAGTGTCTTAGCGTCCTGTAGTGTTTCTATGGTAATTAGATTTGGATTAGCGGAATGAAAGGGATTCTAATAATCGGATGTGTTAGAATGTTCATGTGTAAGAGCTTTAGTGTCGTTGGAGGTGTCACCGAAAATATGGAAGAATTGGTGTTTGAATATTGTATTACTTCAGTTGTCAGTTCGACGTAGTTACAGGGCTATAGTTTTTATAGGATTGTAGAACTAGAATGAACGTTTGACACGCGTTTCGTTCGTACCTATGATCATTCACGTTAAGGAGATAACAGCCTTCACGTTCGAAAAATCTATTTTATGGAATTTAAATTGCAAATTTTATTGCCCGGTAGATTCTGGAAGCGACTGTTTGTTTAATGGATAGAAAAGGAGAATTTCGTGTGCCGACGCATCGGGCAGGCGTGGTCCCCGTCGTTACACGAATATTACGATAAATCACGTCACAGTCCCGTTCCCGAGGAGTCGGGGCCCGTTAAACCTACAATTTTCATTTGAACCCACAGAAAGCCGAAGTTTTTCGATTTCTCCCGGCGCTGGAAAGCCGGATAATGAGCGCACGCGTCTCCGCGGGCTTTTGGGCGGACCGTGATTAATCGTTGAACGCGGTTTCCAGGCGCAAGTTCCTCCCGGATTCCAGCTTCTCCGGCGCTGCTTTCTTTTTCTCGGTGTTATGTAACCAGTTGCGCCTGTAACAACGCGAAACCACGCTCGCCTCCGCGCCGCTAACGCGTTAACGTGGATTTAACCCTTTGTCCTCTAGCAGTTATGTTATATTCAGGTTGGTAAGCGCTTGGTCTCTCTGCTCCTTTATTCGTGATACAGCGATATCGTTTTAACCGTTTGCACTGGAGAGGCGACTATTAGTCACCAGTTGATTCGATTCAGCGGAATTACAAAGTGCTATACGTAATTTGATTCTATTCTCATTTCGCATATTAATCTTAGCGGACGAATGTCGACATTTCGGAGAGATCTAATGTTCAGATTTGGAATACTAAGTCGCAAACAAATGATTTAATTATACAAGCAGCAAGAAATCGATACGTTGTTTCCGCTACTTTTATTATTCAAGCAATCGATGTATAATTTAGCCTCATCTGCTGGAGGTTTTAGGTATTTCAAAGAATCTTCGTTCGCGAAGGGTTGAGCTTTATAAAATGTATGAATATATGAAATATTAAAATGAAATAGATCTGTTCCTTAATTTCAAAGGACGTCGTCTGTAGCTTATAAGTATTGAATACTTCTAGCGAGAAACTTTCCAGCGCAAAGGGTTAATTATGCGCCACGATGTAAACAAAGCCCACGGTTGCACATGGTGAATGTGATTTATTTCCGTCGCGCTCTCACGAAGTCTCAATAATTATTACACGGACATTAATGGCCCCATCCTTGCCAAAACCATTATAAAATGTGTCACAAATTATCCCTGCTAAAATTATAACAGAATCTGCCACAAAGTCCCAGCAGCTTTGAAATGATAATATCCTTGGCAACATTATAATGTAACGCGTCACAAAGTGTCAGTATTTCTTGAATGAAACTATCATTGTCAAAAGTAACGTCGCGAGAGTTAACCCTCCGCCCTATGATTTACTTCTTAACTATCAATAAACCTACTTCATCCTTAATAATTTATCAAAAAAAGGAACAATCTTAATGCTTACTCTATGTCCACGTTCGCTCTAAAAGCAAACAATTGATAATAGAAAAGTAACACTTAATTTATATTTCTCAAAAATAAATAACGCTCGGATTCCTCAAATTCCGTTGAAAGTTTTCGTCACGAGTCTGGCACGATATAGCAGGTTAATCCTCGCCAACAATTTCAAACAGGTCAAAGAACGTTAGCGACTATTCCTCCTTAATTAGCTGAAAAAGTCGCTTTTACTCGATCACCGTCGTCACCTGAATATTCCATTGATCCACTCTCGTTCGTGTTATGATTTTCCCGCCGTCGCGATCGCGTCGGGCACGTGATCAGGCCGCAGCGTCTTCCGCGGACAGAACGAAAACGAAAGTCAATGTTGTGAAAGGGAAGACGTTTATTGGCCCCGATGCTTGCAAGTCCTGTCATTAAGCCGCGCGACTCGCAAACGTCGATAAAAGAAATATGGCGCTTTTAAAGAGATGGGACTTTAACGTCCCGATAGGGCATAAAAAGTTAAAACCCTTCGGTGCCGTAAAAGCGCGTCTCGCGGTTACCGGCGGCCGACCGGTCGATTTTTTTCAACGGGACGCGTCCTAGTTGTTAATTTCGCATTAGTCGTTCCTTCTTTTTCCCCAGACCGTCCCGTTTCTTTGCCGTAAAGCACTCCACGGTGCCCCGGGGGGAACCGAAAGAAACAGATTCGAAGAGAGAGGGTTGATTCATCTTAGAGAAATTCACTTTGGAATGCTATGCGCCGAGCGTAAAACTTCCGACGATTTCTGCGTCATTCTGCGAGCAGCGCTTCGTTTATTGTAAATTCATTAGGACGACGAAAAAAAAAGGAAAGAAAAAGAATATTCGGAACAGTTCTGTGCAGTAACCGTGTAGATCGTGCCCCGATAATAAACGCGAATGCGGCGGATACGCGTTTTTGCTTTATTTCGTATTAGCGATCGCTGCGAAACGTTTGCGAGATATTTGTCAACAATGTTCCCCGGCAGCGACGACACGAATTTCACGTTCTGTTTATCGAATATGTCGATGTAGTTTATTTTAAGGGGTGAATCATTTAATATTGTAAGGCAAAATAATTCGCGAACGAACGTGAAAATTGAATTATACGTGCACATATATGAATTATAAAATTCAATATACAGGTAAACACAAATAAAATGAATTTTTAATAAATAATGGAGAATTTCATTAAACGTTGGATCGATGAAACGTTGAACTGCGCGTGAAAATTGTTGCGTTGAACATTTCTCTGTGATTCGTGAAAACGGGTGAAAACTTCGACCCGTCGGGTTTTTTGGCAGAATTTGAAAGTCTCGTTTCTTCGCAAAGTGTTCACCGCGTTTGACGGGAACGGGCGAAACCAATAAATTAACACAGCGCTTCGAAAGCAATGGACCCGAGCCAGAACATTCTAAGAAGGTTGATTAACATATTGACTTACGTCACAATCGTGCGGGTGATACCATAAACACGTTGCTGGAAGTCTTAGCCTGTCATTACTTTTTTATATCCTAACAGCGAGCATAGAAGGCAAATTTATAGGACTTTAAATTACAGGCTTCTAATGTCGACAGGGCGTAATATTATACAGTCACTCGCAAAACTGGGCATTCAAATAACCAACAAAAGCATAAACATCTCTTATCGCCGAATGAAAATCGTTAAATCGACTTTTTACAAACGCAATCGTAAACGGTCAACACTAAATCCTAAATTAATCTTTTATCAGCACTTCCTTCATGAACCACTCCGACTGCGTCGAAAAAAAAACTCTTGTTTACCTAACTCTCTTACAATACCGTACCAACCTCATATCAAAACCTCGCGCGAACTTCAGCAAACATGAAAGATCACTAAATTCCCAGTTCAAACTAAACATTACTTTTCTACCGATCGTCATGCTTTACAACCAACATAGACACAGAATTACCCTAAAGCCCCCTTCTTTTCCCGGCGAATAACAAAGAACAAAAAATACCGTAAACCGCAACCGCGAAGAAAATCGTAAACCAACCGGTCGAACCCTGATCGATCGATCCCCGCGTCCCCTGGATCGCCGGAGTGCCCATCGAAACGTTAACACCGAATTTCCGAGCGATCCCCGTGGCGACTGTATGGAAGCCGCGCTCGTCTCGACGTCGAGTAGACGCGCGTCGGCCTCGTCTACGGGACCCCGTTGGAACCAGCACGCACCACATACATAAACTGGCAGGGTCCGTGGCGAATCGTGGCCGGGACCCACCCCCTTCTTTTTTTACCGGGTCCCGGCTGTCCTATATTTCTTGCTACACGCCAGAATTCCAGCGTGGGCTCTTTACGCTCTCCTCTTTAAGGGAGCCCGTATAGCCCACACCCCCTTCTGCCTCGACCTCACCGCTCGACCCTCCCCCTCGCGTCCCGCCGGCCCCGTAACCCCCGCCGCCGGTCGTTCGTCGTTTTCTCACACAGCCAACGAAGAGGACCCACGAAACCACCACGTAAGCCTTTCTATTAATGATTTTTACGGCCAGCCTCCGTTTCTTTTTCTTCCACGAGGAAGGAAGGACCTGCTGCGCCTCGCGCGCTCCCCATAAAAAGAGAAAATCGCGGCGGGTCGGAAGGGGTGGCCGCTCGAGGCGACTCGCTTTCTCTCTCACTCTCTCTCTCTCTCTCTTTCTTTCTCTTTCTCTTTCTGTCTTTCTCTCTTTCTCTGTCTTCCTGTACCTCTCTCTTCCTCCCGTTTCGGTGACGTATGCATTCGTGAAGGTTGACACGGGCCCGGGATAATTGCTGTAATTAATTAAATAATTCCTGTAATTAGACCAGCCCGAGGATCGGTACGCGTGAGGCGGAGGGGGTGGTAGGGGGAGCTTCGAGTCCGGTGACAGAGAGACTATGTTGAAGCGGCTGGCTGCGTGAGAGAGGACACGGGGGAGGAGGGGCGGAGTGCAGACGGCGGAGATGGACCTTCTGCCCGGTGCTACGGTGCGGCGTAATGACCGCCGGTCAAGAAATATCCCCGAGCTTCTGCTTCCGTGAGAAGATTGTTAGGAACTGCGCGTACCCGCTGCTAATTTGGACAGGTTGATGAATAGTTTGAAAAAGTGTGCCGGCTGATTATAGGATGCTACCCGCGTAAGTACGCCGCGTAATAGTTATAGATGACCGCGTCGATCGATAAAACTGGCCCGCAGCTTGTTGAATTTCGCCGGTCTTTTTTTCCGTTCGTTTTTTCGCGGCCGTCACGCCCGCCTACCCCTTCTTCTTCCGTTGGCTGCTCTCGCCCGTTGCGGACAAAAGGCTACTTGGCCGAAACGATACGCTCGTGGATGGTTCCGCGGTTGATCGAGGAGGAGGATGATGGATGGAGGAACGTATTATCGTGCACGGCCGGTTCCCGGTGTCCCTAAGTGTATATTCGAAGGCAGTATCGCGTCTCGTGTGGAACAACGTTAAGATTGCGTTAACAGTTAAATGGGGAAAATATTAATCGCGTTTTCTCAGCACGCAACCGTTGGTTAGTTGACGCTAAAAATTATAGGAAACATATTATCTTACTTCTTAACGCTGTCTTCGCTTGTTTCAGTATACAAGCGAAAATTTATGACAGGTAGTATTGCAGGTGAATTGTAAACAGAAGTCCTAGATTTTCCGAAAGCCGAGGAGTATTACTAACATTAAAAACGGGGAACACAATCTTCACCGTGACGACGCGTTTCACTCGTTAACACGTTGACCATGGTAGTCACCGATAGCTTACAAACCGTTTGAAAACAATTATAAAGAGAAAACCGATGTCGAATGAAAATATTCAGCAACGTAACCGAATAATAGTGTAACTTAACCCTTTGCGGGCGAAGATTCTTTTGAAATACACAAAACCTCCAGCGGGTGAAGTTAAATTATACATCAATTGCTGAAATGACAGAGAAAAAGGAAACTACGTGCTGATCTCTTGCTGTTTGAGTAATTGAATCATCTGTTTGCGACCTAGTCTTTGAAACGTGAAAGTTTCATCTCGGCAAACTGTCGACATTCGTCCGCAAAGGGTTAAAATCCAATAATAATAATTTCGATACCGTCCGCCTCTGTTACGAAGAAGCAACATTATACAACACGCCGAAGATTCTCATAGCGATCAACCTGTTAACAAAACCATCCGCGTCAACATTCGGACGAGCCGCGAAGAAGGCGGTCGGGTCGTTGGAGCGTCCGGCATTTCCGGCGAAGAGAGTTCATCGGGGAGCTGCAGTTTCCACGGGGCTAAAGAAATAATATGGGTCGCGGGTCACGTCGGACACGCGTTTCCGTCGGGAGCACCGATGGCAATAAAGTAATGGGGCGGTCTGAGGGGGCGGGGTCGCGAACCGGGTCGTCCGATACGGCGTGCACAGTGCCGAGGGAAAATTTCCGCGCGGCACGCGGGGCGGGAATTTGAATGCGCGCCGCTCGACGTCGGAAATGCAGCCGGAGAGTAGCCGGGGCATCAATTGAGATATATTTACTTTCGAAAGCCGGCAGCCCTAAGGGACCGCGGTAATTGCTATAATTAATCGCGTGATTCCTGTAATTAAAGCGATCGGGATTGCTGGCCGGGAAGTATACGGGCCTCTCCGTTGCTTCCGTAATAACACGGCCGCGGGAGGATCCGGCCGGACGAATCGTTTTCGCCAGATTTATTGGCACGCGCGAACTAACCGTCGTTGCTCCTACGCGGCTCGATTTTTTCTACGGACACTCGAGGGTGTTTACAATCGCCTGCGTAACCAGAAGTTTTAGCAGGCTGATCGATGGCCGGTGCGCCGACGGAGTCTTCGGCTCACATAAAGAGCTGAATTATCGACTGTGTTTGAATTATCGTTGGATTATCGATAAAGAAAGCTGCAGGATTTCCTTGTTAGCAGTCTAATCGTGTAAGCGGAGTGATTGATGGAATTGATCGTGGTCGTTTTCGATATCGAAACCTGTTTGTCGCCTGCGACTATCCGCTGCGAACGTATGGGGTTACGGAGGAAATGTGAAGGAGAATTTAGCGTTGACTGTTCAACGTGAATAAGGAATATTATGTTCGATCAGCCATGGATTGGTTTATTACTGTACGATTGTTAATTAGAAGCTGGCGAAGATTGACTGACTTTTACTGATATCAAAAGCAAAAGTTGCTGGTGGCAATAACTTTCTTCATAGAGAGATTTGATATTTACACTCGAACCATTCTGAACGTTTCGAACTTGTATACAGAATGAACTTTATCTGTCACTGTCGTGCAATATATTCCAATAAAGAAAAGTCAAAGAACTTATCAGTTCCTCCTAGTTCATCGTCAGAGAAAGCTATAAACCAGTGCGCGTCCACTGCTCAACAATTTCAACGCGGGTGACCAGTTCGCTAGGGTTTGAAATTCGGCCACAGCGTCCGCAGGGTGGTCGTTAATCGCCGCTAATCTTGTTCACGGTAAATCGATTCTCCGTTCGGCGCCGGAGGGAGGAAGCAATCTCAAGGAAAATAGAAATGTCGAGCGCTGACCGCGCGGCCGTTCGTCCGAGAAGTTCTGGCCGTGGTCGAGCGACGACTCAGGTCAGGCGAGATGCAGCGCAGCGCGCGGCGCCGCGAACGCACACCTTGACCTATTGCAGAAACTTTAATTACCGTCCGATTCATTATTTCTCTGTAAACATTCCAACGGCGGCCGCCTCCGTTCGCGTACTCCCGGTGGTGCCCGGCACCAGCGCGCACATGCGCCGGCGTCACGGATACACCGATAAAGGGAATAAACACCCGCGCGATCATTCTCAAGGCGGGAGTCTAATTAACGGAATCCAATTAGCGGAGAGCGCGTGCTTCCGCAGCCAGCCTCTCCGCACTCCTATCCATCTCCTTCGACAATCGTTCCCCGAACTGACCAATTGTTTGACCTGTTGCGGACAAATGTTCGGATAGTTCCGACATTGGAATTGGGATTGTTCTAAATGGATCTGATGTGCTTTCCGGTACTTAATCATTTATTGAGGGATTTATCGAGATTTAATTGTTCACTAAGAGATTTATTGAGATTTAATTAAGAGATTCAATTCTTGATTGAGGATTAGATACAAAATTAAATGCTGTTTGAAGTAATTATATGAGTGCTCTAAAAGTACTATGTTAATGTTTATAGAATAGTCAGTAAAGACTTGCTTATGACATCAAATGTTTCTTAGGAAATCAGACTATTTCTATTGATGCAATTTCAATTTTTGAAGGACCTCGAAACAAAGTATTTCAAATTATTCAAGATAACACGTTACAAACGTAAAAATCCGTGGTCTGTGTACAAGCCTTTGTTAATGCTCTGTCGCAATTGCGTTCAGCTACTACAAAGCGTCCTGTGTAATTCACCAATATAAACATTTCACAAGTAACGAAAGAATAACGCCGAACGAAAATCTCCAGGCGTCACAATAAAAGCGGGACTCGTCATCGAAGGATCGTCAAATAATAAAATATCAAGCATCGGTATCCACAAAATGCCTCAGTGTATTAGTTTCTAACTCACGAGGCAATAAAATCCCAATGTTTAGGTAGACGGTAAACGCGGAATGATGGACTAACTAATTGACGAAAATTTCTATGCGTCGAGTATATATATATACAAATATATACATATCCGCATATATATAAAAGTATATAAATCCGTATAAAACTTCCTGGCCGCGTAGTGTTGTGTCTCAAAGCCATATTTCGTCGGCGGAGGGTTGAAACCGCCATACCGTGCCATCGCGACGGCAACCGGTGATTTCCACTGAATTTCCATGGATCTCTCGAAGATCGTAACGCGGGGCCGGGTTATCGGGACGAGTTTCAACCGAGAGGGCCGATTAATCCGTGAAATATCGACGATTACGGGCGAGAGGGTGAACGCATGCTTGCGAAACGATTCATAACAGTTATGCTAATGTCCCCGGTCGGTCGCGTAACACCGTGAAACACATAAAATCCCGGGGAGCGGCGACGATCCGCCGCTCCGGTTCCCGACCGTGTCCGTCCGTCGTCCCCGTTCCTCGATCAACTTTCTCGGCGTTCGTCGCTTGTTTATTATCACTTTCCCTCCTTCTGCACGCCCGGCCGTGAATGAAGAGGAACGCGCGGCGAGATAGGCCCCGATAATTAAACGAATATCATGTATGGGATTATGTAGATTCGCGAGATAGATCTAGAATCGTGAGCAACCGGGACGTGGATCGGGTCCGGAATGGTTAATTATGATTCCGAGTATTTCTGGCAGTGCTCCGAGTATATATATTATGCCGATTTTTATCCCCTCGGCGCGGAAATTTCCTCCTCGACTTTGCCGTGCATGCTCATAGACAGCACGCCATCGAAATCGTGTGCGGGAGAATGATCGCGCGCCTCCATTGTTCGCGGTAATATTTCCGAGTTCGGCGGAACGGAGTTCGGTCGGATTTTTGAGTGAAAGAAATTCGGTTCCGGTGAATTAACCGTTCGGTTGCGGTGAATCTTTTCAACGGAATGGCAGAATCACGATTGAAGTTTCCACGGGAATTAGTTGAATTTCGTTACCATTCATTGCTCGGTTTTAATAGACTCCGCAGTCTTCGAGCGACTTTATTCTTCTAACAAATGGCGTCTGGCGGATAATGTAGCGGCAGTTTTGGTTTAACGCGAGCATAGCTTCGCTGATGATTTTCATTGGAGTGTGTTAATCGATAACTTCAATCACCTGGAGCGCGATGATGTTACGCGCTGATCAAAATTCTCGGAGGTTCTGTTGAATAAATCTATCATCTCGA